GTGATGAGGTTCTACATCATGCCCTACTGGAGCCGGGGTCAGCTTGGTATCAGGGAGGGGACTTACACCGGCACCCAGAAGTTCTCTATGACTGGTGCGAGATCCATGGCTTACAACATTTTGTTGGCGAATACGATCGTGCCTCGACTCTGACAGAAGATTGTAGACCCCCAGAGTATGATGTAGCCGGTCCGATGCCAAAAAACAACTCAACATGCACTGAAACCCTATCCCAGGTCAAATTCTTGGAAGGCTCACCCCACCTCTCGCTGTTCTCCAAAGAGATCAATGCCATAGAGGATGAGCTGGAGACTGCCTGGGACTCCATGTAGAGATGTCTGTGGCTCACCACACATCTTTAATTTATGCAAATTCGGGAGTTGCCATCACGTGCAAAATTAGGGAGTTGCCATCACATGCAGAGTTTGCTGGAAAACTGCGAAGCCTGCATGCTTTGCAAGCCCATAGATATACATAGACTCCACAAACACATAGCCAGCTATATTATCTCACGCCGAGGCTGGATGTCACGACGATCTTCTGAACTGCTGGATCGTGATTGGGCTCGCTTAGGCTGGCCCACTGTGCTCTCTGTAGTACTACAGTGTGCATGAGGCTGCCATGCTCATTACTCTGTATCCTTGGAGTCTGCTTCAGTGTGACATGCCGACGAGTGCAGTTTGTGATCGGTCGCTGGTGTAGACAGCTCGAGGCTTTCCTACAGAAAACATCCCAAACAAATACCGAAACACCCCATATAAACCCAATATATATTCCCTAAACCTATAAACCCTAAACCCCTAAACCCTAAACCCTATAACCTTATGAACCCTATTATAAGCCCTGGACCGATGTACTAGACCTCCTTCACTTCAGTGATTGGAAATTGTAACTAATGTGTGCTTACAGTGCTCCCGGATGCCGATGCTGCTCTGGCCCGGTCGACGGCTGTTGAGGCTCCCATGCATTCAGTGGCCTTTTTTATCAACAGGAATGTATATCTATATCTATATATATGTACCCTACATAAAATCACCCCTATAGGCCCCAAAATCAGGTTTATATAGTTGGGATACATACAAACCTATATCTAAGTGTCTATCTATATACATCTAGATAGATGCAAAGGGTAATTAGGGCTTATGTGGTATTCTACGGGTTTGGGTCACTTTCCAAGACCCCACCGAACCTCTCACGCAGCATTCCTGAACCCTTGAGCAGTCTATTTTGAGGCCGTCCATGATGAGGCTCTCTCTAGAATGTACATTATGTGTAGCATGTTGCAACCATGGCAATAGGGAGGAGCCCCCAAATTCGAAGATTGCACAGTGTGCAGACACATAGTTGCTGTCTGCGACTATCTGTCCTGTGGTAGCTTCGTTTCTTTCCTTTAGGGTTTTCAGGGGTTGTAGGGTTTATAGGGTTTATAGATAGATACATAGGGTAATTATAGGGCCTATATGTGCTATTCTACGGGTTTGGGCAATTTTCCAAGGCCCCACCGAGCCTCTCACGCAGCATTCCTGAACCCCTGAGCAGTCTAGGAGGCCTTCCATGATGAAACTCTCTCTAGTATGTACATATAATGTAGCATGTTGCAACCATGGCAATAGGGAGGAGCCCCTAAAATTCGAAGATTTTTAGGGGTTGAAGGGTTTATATAGGGTGGACCTAGAGTCTATACATTGTCGAGTTCCCTTATTGGGTTACCTTTTTCGGATCCTGTAACCGTAAAGATGGTTTAGCCTAACAGGCAACTATAATGGAGACTATTGGTAGGGCTTTTAGGTTTGATAGGGTTTATATAGGGTCTATATAGGGTTTATTGTTTAGGGAGCTTGCTTTGTAATGACCGAAACTTTGTAAACCTTGTATAAAGTTCCAAATGCAACTCCTATAGACAACCACCCCTGACGCCCCGCACCGCGAGGTTCGTTCGTTGACACTGTCGAGAAGCAGGTCTCTCCGCCTGCAATGGTATAACATAGAAAAGCCCATATATAGTCTTTATTCGTGTCTATACGGTACTCCCTTCTTGGGTCCGTTTAGGTTTTATAAACATCCTAGTATATAGTACCACTCTGTACTTTCCCACAAGGCCCTACAGGAAAGCTCCGGGGTGGGTTCGGTCAATATATTGCACCTGCCTGGGCTTAGGCCTATAGGATATGGCGACCTCTTTGGAGTCAGAGTGTCTCTGTAGTTTACATCATGTCTTGTCTTGACAATAGACGTGCAGATACCTCTGACAACTTCGAAGCTTCAGATACAATGTAGTGTCCAAGGTCTTTGTTGTTTTCCCGTGTCAGACATACATAGGTATCACATGGACCCCCTGTAGATGCTCGGTCTAGACCTATATAGTCTCCATTGTACTTCCTTGTCTGGGGTGTATAGTGGCGGGTATACTTTATAGGGTCCTACATAAAATATATAGAACCGGTTGAACGACAGAGGAAGTATACAATGGAGACTATAGGTAAGAGTCTACATAAGGCTAGCAATATCCCAGAAAGCACTGCGAGTGTAGGATAAAACCATCCGAAAGCAACCCAGGCAAGCTACTGGGTGCAGAGTATCTTGGCATGAAATTCTAAAGCTCCCGGGCAGCAAGTACAAGACTGACGGTTTAGGGGTTGAGGGTTTAGGGTTTAGAGGGTCCCAGTATGTAAACCCTATAAACCCTAAACCCTAAACCCTAAACCCTAAATCCTGAACCCTCAACCCTGAAGCACGACGAACGTGTACCTGTCCTGCTTCCTTTGCTCGAAATATGCAGCTTTAGGTCGCTGTTGTTTTGACAGAGAAACTCATGCAGTGTTGAAGCCGGATCAATGAAAGTATCTCTGCCTGCCCTGCTTGCTTGCTTTTACGAGCTATGAGCATCGACGACGATGAAGAATCCAGCTGGTTGAGGGAACTTATTGAGTACAACAGAGAGCCTCGCTTGCATTGTGACCCAGGGTAGCAAGCCCCGCCAAGGACTTCTGAAGCCCCAGCTCTAGATAGACCGACTCTGATTTTGCAAGAGACCAGCACTTTCCACGCTTTGCCCTAAACCCTGAACCCTGTGAACCCTCTGAAGCCTATAAACCCTATATACACCAGAAACTATAAGATGTTTGCATGTCTGTCCTCTAGAGACTTCAGAGGAAAGTTCGTTGGGCCCGTCGTCGTCCACGACAATCGCACCTTGGTCTGAGCCGTGGCACACACAGGCAAAGATCTTGTTTCAGTGTCGACTGCAATCGGACTTCGTTTGTCTAGGTACAACAGCAGACCGCACCTTCTCTGCCAGATCTCCGGTTGGATTCAAACATACTGAGTTTGCCGAGAACCGTGGATGTATTCCATAAGCTGCTGTCTACAGACCGCATGAGTCTTAAGCTGCCGAGACCGGGAGCCCTCGCCGGACAGGTCATTAAGCACGGCATCAGGGTGCTAGAAGACACACTGGCTTCCTACGGCCCCATGGTCTACAAGATAGGGTACAGCTACGATCCGCACAACCGTTTCTTCAACCGCAGCTTCGGGTATGTGCACGAACGGCAGAAGTGGGAGAAAATGATCGTGGTGTATGTCAGCCACGAGACCCTGGGTCCTGCCTTCCTCGAGGCTGCTTTGATCCAGAGGTTCAAAGGAGCCTTATTCAGAAATAGAATGATGTTAGCTGCATTGAGCCCTCAACTGTTCTGGTTCGTCGCCACAAGCTCTGTAGCCAGTTCCTATACTGCCCAAGGACAGCAAGGCTGTCGAAATGAAAGAGATGGAGGAGACACCGTGTGTGCCCACTTGGATGGCCCCTTCTTCACTTATTTTGTGTACCAATCCTTCAAACGAGAGCCGTACCGAGCAGGATTGTCTGGCATGGACTAGATGTGCACGCTGTCGGTGCTGCATAATTAGTTGGCACAATCGAAAAGCTGGCTGATGCAAAACAGTTAACTGTTGCTGTTGCCCAGGGATGTCGTGCTATGACTGCACAAGCACCAAGCCCTGTAAACCCTAAACCCTATAAGCCCTATACATCCCCTAAACCCTAGAAGCACCCACGATCCGAGGCTTTGGCTGAAAGCTCTCTCCGGCAGCAGCCTGTCTGCTATGTGCGAAGCCACATGAACTCTAAACCTATACAGTCTTCAAACTCCCACAGCCGAAAACTCCGAAACCCAATGGCCCGAAATTCATCTGCCGAGAGACATAGATTTAGGGCTTGTAGGATTTAGGGTTTATATACCTATAGTCTCCATTGTGGTACCTTTTGGAATTTTTGGGGGTTACCTTGTATAGGATCCTATAGCTATATATAGTTGGTCAAATACAAAAAGGAACTACAATGGAGACCATAGGTATAGG